ACACGGAGTTCATTAATAACATATACGGCAGTTTTCAGGTTGTGCCCAGCCTGGATCTATGCGGCAAGTAAAATTAGTTCGCTTTGCTGCTCATGTAATTAATTTTCGCCTTTTTTATAGCCGTCAAGAGCACAGTTATCTATCCAGCCACAGACAAGCACGTCGAAAAGTATTCCATTTGCCAGAAGTATCTCATAAGAGAAACACCAGATCTCTACGAAAGTACAACTCTTCCGTACATCAACGAGAGCCAATTCTCGCTGGAGTGGGTTTACAACATACTGGAACACAAGAAGGAAACCGAGCGAATCGTATTTGAGGATAAGGATCCGGAAACCGGTTTCATCTTGCTGCCAGATCTGAAATGGGATGGTCGGAATGTAGAGAACCTCTACCTGCTTGGCATTGTGCACAAGCACGATATTAAATCAATCCGTGATCTGAATGGCAGCCACCTACCGTTGCTGCGGAACATACGCCAGTCCGCAAAGGATGAAATTTCGAAACGATATGGCTTGAACCCTAACCAGCTGCGCATGTACTTTCACTATCAGCCCTCCTTCTACCACTTGCATGTGCATATCAATCCCATTAGGAACGATGCCCCAGGCATTTGGTGCGAGAAGTCACACATGCTGGACACTGTAATAAGCAACTTGGAACTCTTGCCGGACTACTACCAGCGCGCCACATTACCATTTGTTTTGTATGAGGGTAACAAGCTGCTGGATTTGTATGAAGAGAAGTTAACAGTTCGCAGTGTGGCAGCTCCCATAAGTGAATCTAAAGAGCGAGAAGAGGAGCCAGCGGTGGAATCGGCTGTCGATGTTTTCAGTGATGATGATCCAGAAGAAAGGGAGTGCAAACGCATCCGATTAGCAACACCAGACCCAAAGGAAGCCGAAGCCACTGCACAGGTGTGTGCATAGTCGAAGCCCACGGGTGTACGAAGACATACCACATTAATGGTTACCTATTAACGAGTACGCTATTACCTTAACTGCAGAAAAAAGCTGACATTTTATCTATCAACTTAGTATAGTTTTTAAACTACGTTTATTAAAAGCAAACACACGAAAAATAAAACTACTCTATTTGGTATCATAACTGGCTATCAATTTGGTTCATTTGCTTCACTATTCCCAGATTCTATAACAATTTATCTTTATAATTGATTACATTTGGCTTGACTTCTGCCAACGATCCACACAAGAAGCGAATGGGACTTAATTCAATTAAATTGACTGGCTCGAGTACACACATAAGTCTCTTCTTTTACGCTTCGGTTGCTATGGTGTACATCTTATTTAGTCGAATCTCTCGTAACTAGGCCACCTACTAAGCTAGGCACTAGGCTTTGGACATCTGGTGATCAACCATCAACGAAAATGGCTAATCAAGTCAATTGCCAGCCAGCACGATTAAATGAAATGAAATGCCCGAGAAACTGGTCTAGAGTTAGTCAGCTGTTTGCCTTTTTTATTTATTTATTAATAGTGTAGCTATGTCTGTTGTGTATTGTTTTCGTATGCGCTCTGCCTGTGTTATATATTTTCTTGTTTTTTATTTCAATAATTTATTTATTATTTGTTTGTGGCCTTGCGTATTTGATCATATTTGTAATACATTGAAATACACGCCACTGCTTTGAGGATTTTGTTCTCGTCTCGGCGTGCCTAAACTATCCATTTTATGTAATTCTAGATGTCAGTATATTGGCGCCGCACAGGCGCTACCGCTTTTCGTTTCTGGAGAACTGCGAATTCGATTCGAGTTCGCTCAAAGGAGCGGAGGGACCTACATATATGTATGCTAGGCGAATGCTTGGATATTATAAGCTCGTTTAGCAGCTGCGTGTCGTGTCGTTAGTGTCGTGTGTGTGGGACTGGGAGTGTCTCAAAATCATCAGCATGGAAGCCTGGTTCAACATCTTTTATGGTACATACATACATAAATATTATTTCGAATACATACATACATATACATATACATATATAGGTATAGGCATCTATATATAAAAATAACAAATAATCGTAGTAATAAAATCGTAATGTGTAATTTCCCAATACATATAATAAAAACAATACGATAAGCGCCGGCTTGCCCTGAATACTAATCCATAAACTCTCCTTCTCTCTCAATTGCTCGTCGTGCCCGATTTATCCACGTCCGTATCCAGGTGCTGATGCTGCTGCTGATCCTGTGGCACGTACATCATAGCAGTTGCTGGCGAGGATATGCTGCTCCCCATTGTCTTATCCGCATCGGAAATTGACCAGTTACGCTCCAGCTGCTCCAATGCAGCCATTGTGGCTGTCGTGGTCACCCCAGCACCAGAGCTCTCGGCACCAGCCCCATCACTCATAACACCAGCCTTCAAGGTCTCCTCCAGCAGAACCTCGATTTTGTCCTGGTCGTCGAGATGAACAAAGCCGAGACGCACCAGTTCGCTGGTGAGATCTGCCGCCGTATCATGCTCGGTCACCTGACAAGTCAACTGGCGATTCATTTTGTCGTCCATGCGTAGAAGTATTGTCATTATTATGTCATTGCTGTCCTCCTTGATCTTCACGCTGCACATCATGTTGACAATGCGTCGCGACTCGGTGTCCACCGGCTCTGGGGTGGCAGACTTCACAGAGTCGGCCCGTTCCGGCGAAGCTGCTCGCGAGCGAAAGTTTGGCGGCTTCTTGCCGTTGTACGTGATCAGCGGATAGACCCCATACTTGACGTCCTCGACAAACTTCTCCAGCTTGTCGGCTCCGCCCACATCTGCCAGTCGGTACTGACGCTCCTGTCCGCCAGACATCAGCTGGGCCATTATCACATCTGGCTGATAGTAGCGCTGCATCAGTCCATCGAAGGCAGTCTCCGAGAACATGGTGCGATTGGCGGGTGAGAAGACCAGACAGTGGGCGGTCAGAAGCTTCAGAGAATGAACCTGCGCACAGGGGACAGAAACGATTAATTCGATGGACTGGCTGGACACTCAGTGTGCCCCAGAACTCACCTCAAAAAGCAGTGGATGAAATAGCAGATCGTTGGCGCTGGGCCGGTCCTGGGGATGGGGATTGAGACACTTCTCTATCAGATCCCTTTGCAGATCGCTTTCCAGGCTGCAGATTGTGCGCTGTATGGTCTCTTCGTTGATGGCAGTCGATTCGCTATTGCTGGGCTGAATTTCGAGAGCTGCCATCTCCAGGGCGCACATGCCGAAGGCATAGATGTCCAGGGCGGCAGTCAGCTGCTCGGCGGCTCCGTACTCCGGCGCCTGGAAATAGTGAGCGCCTCGCTCACGCTCCTGCTCCCGATCCCTTTCGCGGTCCCACTGCCGGCGAACGCTGTAGTGAACAGCGTCGGGCACCACGGAGCCGATCTTGACCAGACCATTGTGCTGGATGAAAATGCTATCACAGGTTAAATTTCCATGGATGATGGGCGGTGTGCAGGAATGCAAATAGCTGAGTGCGGACAGGATCTGGGTGCACCAGCGTCGCCACGACTCCAGCGGCAATCGCTTGGCGTTGCGCTTGGTGCGTTTGAGGAACTGTTTTAGAGACCCGGATGACATGTACTCCGTTATGAAGATCACCCTCGGCCTCTCCGCCTGTTGCGTGTCCGTCCAGTAGCGATGGAACTTGACGATATTCTGATGATCCAGCTGCAGTAGATTGTCAAAGACCTGGCGCATCTTCTCCTCCTGAGACTTGAGCTCCTGCAGATTGGCATATTGCACCTCATTCCAAACGACCTCGACACCCTCCTCCGTGTCCATGGCCAGATGGACACAATCGATCCCGGGCACATCCCGCTGGTCGACCTCCTCGCGCCGCTTCAGCCACCGGCCACACGGCGACTCCTCCAGGATTTCGCTCTCATCCTCTGAATCGTCGCCAGATTCCCTTGGCGATGAATCCAAATTGACTCCCTCGCTCCCCCCTGCAACGACCACACCAACCCCGCCACCCGCATCAGCTGTTGAGGCTCCCACTATGTGCGGTGCTGGCTGCTGCTGCTGCTGCTGGGCAATTGTTGATGCTGGCGTTGCTTGAGAGGATACATTCGTCGTCGTAAGGTTTGGGTTGGGGGCCAACGTGGCCGATCCCGACGGGTTCTGGGTCGGTTCATCCGCGCTACCGCTGCTGCCGGCATTCGCTTGACTATTTGACATTAGGGTGCGGTCACAGATGCTGCTGCCTGCTGCTATTGCTGCTACTGCCGTTTTCCACCTTCAAAAAAACTTCAGTTTTGCGGACCAATGTTTGTTTTCTCTCGCTCTTCGCTCTTCGGATTCGTCGATGTCGTCTATGTTTGCTTTTCGTGGTATCCGCGGTGCCTGTGCTCCAAACTACATCCGCTGCTACTCCACAGCCGCCACCTCTGCCCACTCACAAGCACACACATACACACAGGCACACGCACACACACACACCCTCCTCTGCGCCCCCGTTGTTCAATAACACTCTGCGCTACGGCTGCGGCTGTCGGCTGCCAATGAGCTGCGGCTGCTATGGCGTTTTTCGGGCTCCTAGCGTTTTCGATTGCTCTATTTTTCAACTGCAGCGCGGACGTCAATCAATTTACTGCACTTATTTGGCTAACACGCGGTCGTTTGGTTTATTTAGGCGTTTTTTTCACGCTTTTTAAAACACACAAGAAATGTGAGTAAATCGATGCATCGAGACTATCGATACTCACCCATCCACTCATCAGTGTTGCGAACTTTGTTGCAGAAAAAATAGAGGTCTTTGTGTGAAAAGGAGCTGAATTTTATTTTCTCCGTGAAATTCAGCATGAGTAGAATGAAATTGAGTAATATTGCACAACTTTAAAATATCTTGTATCAAAATGCATTTTTATCTTACAAATTTAAAAAACAATTGAGACTATATTTAGGCAGTCAACTTTAACAGCCTGAACTGGCTATAAAAGAGTGGGGTGTCAATACTACCGCTAATCGCTTGCAGCTGGCGCAAATGTGAGCACTTTGTTATCGATAGAACCTATCGTTTTGTGTCATCTGTGCCGAAAGATCAATCAAATAAATAATTTAAGTCTAAGTTTAAAGAATAACTAATAAGTATCTTTAAAAATGGATAGCATAATTGGGCGCAGTCAGTTTGTCTCAGAAACGGCTAACCTATTCACAGATGAAAAAACCGCCAGCGCACGAGCAAAGGTAACGCACTGTTCACGACGCCAACTCCGCTTTGAATTGTCATTTTCCTTTATATTTGTATTTCCAGGTGGTTGAGTGGTGCAACGAGTTCGCCACGGCTCCAGCTACAACAAAATGCGAGTTGCTGGTGAAAGTGCAGGAAACCGTTCTCAGCTCCTGCGTGGAGCTAGCCGAAGAGTTCTTGGAGCCAGTGCTATCGTTGGCCCATGATCAGAACATGGAAGTGCGAAAGCAAGTGGTTTGCTTTGTGGAGCAAGTATGGTAACTATTGCCAGAAATCATACTAGTGCTCCACTATAATGTCTCACTTACAGCAAGGTTAAAGTGGAGCTGCTACCATACGTGATCAACATCATTTCCATGCTCTTGCGAGACAGCTCGGCGCAGGTCATTAAACGAGTGATTCAGGCCTGTGGAAGCATTTACAAAAATGGTTTGCAGTATTTGTGCAGCCTCACGGATCCCAGCGACAGTGCAGAGCAGGCATGGAATATTCTTAGTTTAATCAAGGCACAAATTTTGGATCTGATTGACAACGAAAACGATGGCATACGCACCAATGCAATTAAGTTCCTAGAGGGCATCATAGTCTTGCAGAGCTTTGCCGACGAGGACAGCCTCAAGCGGGAGGGCGACTTCTCCCTGGCCGATGTTCCCGACCATTGCAAGCTCTTCCGTGCCCAGAAGTTACAAGAGGAGGGCACCAACATATTCGACATCATGTTACAGTTCCACGGCACAACGCACATATCTTCTGTGAACCTGATTGCCTGCACCAGCAGCCTGTGTACGGTGGCCAAGATGCGACCCGTTTTCATGGGAGCCGTTGTGGAGGCCTTCAAGCAGCTCAATGCTAATCTTCCGCCAACGCTCACTGACTCCCAGGTTAGCTCTGTCCGGAAGAGCCTCAAGATGCAGCTGCAGACGCTGCTGAAGAACAAAGGGGCCTACGAGTTCTCTGCCACTATACGAGGCATGCTAGTGGACTTGGGGTCCACGTCCAATGAGATACAGAAACTGATACCCAAGATGGATAAGCAGGAAACGGCTCGACGCCAAAAACGAATTTTAGAGAACGCCGCCCAGAGTCTGGCGAAAAAAGCGCGAATTGCCAGCGAGCAACGAGAGCAGGAGACGCGGGAACTGGAACTCGACGAGGAAGAGCTGGAGCGCCAGCGACAAAAATCCACCAGAGTCAACGAGAAATTCCTGGCCGAACATTTCCGGGCCCCAGAGACGGTGGTCAGCCTGGTCGTCGAGTTTCTGCCTGGGCTGCCAGCTGAGGTGCCGGAAAGATTTCTTGCCGAGTACACGCCCATCAAAAAAATGTCTCTGCAGCAGCAGGTTAGCAACATATCGCGGATCTTTGGCGAGCAGTTGACTGAAAATCGCCTGGGTCCAGGCGCGGCTACATTCAGTAAGGAGCCGCCCATGAGGGCCAAGGCGAGTCGAGAAGTAGCTTCTGCCACTGAGATCCCCTTGGTCACCGAAATGGAGGTGGATGAAGATACCGAAACGGCCCGTAAGTTGAACGAGGAAGAGCTGCAGCGCAAGGAAGAGGCCACAAAGAAGCTGCGCGAGACCATGGAACGGGCAAAGGGCGAACAAACTGTCATTGAGCGGATGAAAGAGCGGGCGAAGACGCTGAAGCTGCAGGAGATCACCAAACCCCTTTCCCGCAACGTAAAGGAAAAGTTCCTGTTGGATGCAGTCAAGCGCATCCTGAACTCGGAACGGCAGTGCGTCAAAGGTGGAGTGTCTTCCAAGCGCCGCAAGCTGGTCACTGTCATAGCGGCCACATTTCCAGACAATGTGCGCTACGGCATCATGGAGTTTATTCTGGAGGATGTCAGACAGCGCATAGATCTTGCCTTCTCCTGGCTCTTTGAGGAGTACTCCCTGCTGCAGGGTTTCACCAGGCACACCTATGTCAAGAGGGAGAACCGACCCGATCATGCCTACAACGAGCTCTTGAACCAGCTCATCTTCGGTATCAACGAGCGCTGTGAGCACAAGGAGAAGATAATTCTGCTGCGCCGCGTGTATCTGGAAGCGCCAATTTTGCCAGAAAATGTCGTGGGGGACCTGGTCCAGCTGAGTCTTGTCGATGAGTTCTCACATCATGGTCTGGATCTGATCAAAGATCTGGCTGTACTGCGGCCACCGAGGAAAAATCGCTTCATACGCATTCTACTCAACTTTTCTGTACACGAACGTGCTGATCTGCGGGAGCGTTCTCAGGGCCACTTGGTCAGCCTGTACCATTTGCACAAGATTCTGCCGGCAAGAATCGATGAATTTGCCCTAGAATGGCTGAAATTTCTTGAACAGGAGAGGCCTCCGGCGTCCATTTTCTCACAGGAATTTGGCCGGCCCACCGCAGAGACAGACTGGCGCGAGGACACAACCAAAGTGTGCTTGGGCCTGGCTCTCACACTGTTGCCCTACAAACCGGAAGGTAAGTGAAGACTTTGATTATTGAAACAAATGCATTAACAACGAATCTCCTCTGGGTTCTTCTTTTAGTTTACGTTGAGAAAATATGCCAAGTTTTTGTGACTACCTCCGCGGAGCTGAAGCGCACGATCTTGCGCAGTCTGGACGTTCCCATAAAGAAGCTTGGCGTTGAGAATGCCACTCTGATGCAGTTAATAGAGGAGTGCCCAAAGGGAATGGAGACACTTGTGATCCGCATCATCTATATACTGACAGAGCGAGTGCCGACACCTCCTGTGGATCTAGTGCGACGAGTGCGAGACCTTTACCAGAGCAGGGTTCAGGATGTGCGTGTAATGATACCAGTGCTGAGTGGCCTATCCCGCTCCGAGCTTATCAACGTGTTGCCCAAACTAATTAAACTGAATCCGGCTGTTGTCAAGGAGGTGTTCAATCGACTGCTCGGCATTGGGGCCGAGTTTGCCCACCAGACGATGGCCCTGTCGCCCACTGACCTCCTGGTGGCCCTACACACCATCGACACGAATGTTTGTGATCTAAAGTCTATAGTAAAGGCTACGTCCATTTGCCTGGCTGAGCGGGAATTGTACACACAGGAGGTACTCATGGCTGTGCTTCAGCAACTAGTGGAAGTTGTTCCGTTGCCAACCCTGATGATGCGTACCACGATCCAGAGTCTGACGCTCTATCCGCGACTCTCCAACTTTCTGCTGAATCTGCTGCAGAGGCTGATAATGAAGCAGGTCTGGCGGCAGAAGGTCATCTGGGAGGGTTTTCTCAAGACGGTGCAGCGCCTCAAGCCGCAGTCTCTGCCGATTCTGTTAAATCTTCCGCCAGCGCAGCTTCAGGACGCGCTCCAGCAGTGTCCCGATCTGCGACCTGCTTTGCTGGAGTATGCAGAAAGCGTGCAGGATGAGCCAATGAATGGCAGTGGTATTACACAACAGATAATGGACATAATCTCAGGAAAGGCGGTAGATGTATTCATCACGGTAAGAATAAAACATATTGTCACCTTTCAGAACGATGATTTTGATAATCTTGTGTTCGCAGGACGAAAGTGGTGGCTACATGTCGGCGGATATGATCAAAAAGGAGGTGCAGGACCCCTCGGACATCTGCGTGATTTCCACAGTACCGGTGCTGACGTCTCTGACGCCCTTGCCCGTTCCAGCGCCCGTCTCGAGCGATCTTAACCAGCCCTTGCCGCCGGGCGAGGACTAGGGCGAATAGGCGTAGGGGCGAAATAATAATTGTTTTGTTTGCATTCAGATAAGATTCTTCACTTTAATAAGAATAAGACAAATATTTCACTTAGACTGATACTTCGGCTTCCATTTTTGCTCCCGTCAGAGCTGCTAGAATATTTCGCGCCGTGATACGCGACATTTCCTTGCGTGTTTCGATATCGGCGCTTCCTATATGCGGCAATATGACGACATTATCCAATTTGAGCAGCGGATCATCAAGAGGCAGGGGCTCTGGAGTGGTCACATCCAATCCGGCAGCCAGGATACGTTTGGATGCAAGTGCTTCATGCAGAGCCTTCTGGTCAACGACTCCACCACGCGCAGTGTTTATAAAAATGCAATTGGGCTTCATTTTATTGAATGCCTCTGCGTTGAAGATTTCCTTGGTTTCCGGGGTCAAAGCACAGCAGGCCACGATAAAGTCGGAGTTTCGCAGCATCTCGTCAAAGTCCACATGCCGTCCGTTTACCGCTGCCGCCTCTTGCGGTCGCGCCGTGCGGGTCGTGTAGGTTATCTCGGCTGGCTTGAAAGGGAAAATTCGCGCAGCTATCTCCTGACCAATGCGTCCAAAGCCCAAGAGCCCCACCCGCGATCCCTTCAGCCCCTGGCCGCACATCCACATGGGCGCCCAAGACTTCCAGCCACCGTTGTAGACCTGCTTACTCGCCTCAAAGAGACGGCGATTGGTGGCCAGCAGCAGGGCGAGCGTCAACTCCGCCGTGGCGTCGGTCAGCACATCCGGGGTGAAGCCCACTCGTATTCCACGTTTCCTGCACTCCTCCACGTCGATATGCTCATAGCCCACTGAGATTGTGGACACACATTTCAGCTGAGAGCCAGCAGCATCCAATACCGCCACATCGATCTTGTCTGTAAGAGCGCAGTAAAGGGCGTCCTTTCCAACAACCTCACGCAGCAGTACTTCGCGGGGTACGGGCAGAGCTTCCTTCCATGTGCTCACATTGCAACTGAAAGATAAATATACAAATAATTAAATATAATTTTATCGCAGCCGGCGACTAGACTAAAAACCACCTCTTGCGCAGCAATTCCAGACCGCTGGCATCAACATCTGGTCGAGTCACATAGACACTTGGTTTTGAGCTCATTGTTCTCTGTCCACGTAGTAATGCCGGCAACAGCTTTCTGCTTTGTGACAGTATCCATAGTGGTCGCATTACAAAGAGTGTCAATAAGTAACAGGTTTCAGCGCGCTACAGTGCTGCCAAATTGGCTTTTTTATGCCACATCTAGCCTTTTCCAAAGTATATGAGCGGTATATTCAACCCTTTGGAATATGTTCTTACACCTACGCCAACTGGCAAATATTCCAATTTAATATTTCTGTAATCGACTCTAATATGTTCTTATTCTTTCAAAGACTGGTGAAAAATATTTGTGTTCGTCAATCTAGCTTTTTCTCAAATGCCAGTGGCATGAAATTCGATGTTCGATGTTTTGTCAGTTACAACACTGCTGGCACGAGTAAACACAAACAAAAAATTGCGAATTTATTATTGCCGGTGTTCAAAAAGTTCTCGATGCATGGCATTCGTAATATTGCAAAGCTGATAAAACGTGTTCCTGTAACCATTGGTTTTGCGTTCCTTCAGGGAAGTCGTTCTGTGATAACAATCGCTAGCCGAATGGGTCCATCTACTCCAACAAAGGAGCTGTCGAGCGAATTGGTATCACAGCTTGGAAAGCCACCGAGAATGCGTGAGGATCCAGCTTTCAAGAAGGTGGATAGCCCCGAGTTCCATGGTATTTTTACTTCGGAAGTGGACTCGCTGGTGTCGCTCTTCAAGCAATACGACTATGAGTTGAGAATTGCCGGCGGAGCCGTCCGGGACATTCTAATGGGTATCAAGCCAAAGGACATTGATTTTGCAACCACAGCCACGCCAGACCAGATGAAAGAGATGTTCACCAAAGAAAACGTGCGTATGATCAATGCCAAAGGCGAGAAGCATGGCACCATCACTCCGCGCATAAATGGCAAGGAGAACTTCGAGGTGACCACTCTGCGCATCGACGTCCGCACCGATGGACGACATGCAGATGTGGTTTTTACCACTGACTGGCAACTGGATGCAAACCGTCGGGACCTGACCATCAACTCCATGTTTCTGGGCTTTGATGGCACAGTCTATGACTACTTTTATGGCTACGATGATCTGCAGGAGCGCCGCGTTGTTTTTGTTGGCGATGCCGACATACGTATCAAGGAGGACTATTTGCGCATTTTGCGCTATTTTCGATTTTACGGACGTATAGCAAAAGATACACAAAGTCATGATGCTACTACCTTGGCCGCAATCAAGGACAACGCCGAAGGCTTGGCAAGAATCAGCGGCGAGCGAATCTGGTCAGAGCTGCAGAAGATAATTGTGGGAAATTACGGACCCGAACTGGTGCTGGAAATGCACCGCTGCAACCTCATTCAGCATTGTGGGCTGCCTGTTCAGCCCAACTTGAAGGAATTTCAACGCCTCTGCGATGCATTGAAGAAGTTCGAGAATCCCTCCATATTGTATATGACGGGATTGCTTCACTCTGTCGACGAGGCCATGATGATGCACGAGCGCTTGAAGCTGTCCGCATTTGAAAGAGATCTGGCGCTGTTTATTACACAGCAACGGGAGAGGGTAAACACACTGCTGCACAGTCCAGGATAAGAATAAGTCCTCAATAAAATGCTTTTTTCCAGGTGGACACTGAGTACACGACTCTACGCGACTATCAAAAACTGTGCCTGCAGCCATATGCCAAGCGGGATTACGTTGAGCAACTTCTCAAGTATACCAACAAAGTGGAGCTCTACAATCAGTTGAGGGCATGGCCCACTCCCATTTTTCCCCTGAATGGGAATATGCTTAAGGATTATGGGCTCTCTGGCAAGAACCTGGGATCTCTACTCTCAATGCTGCGCCTCATGTGGGCAGACAGCGACTTCCAACTAACCTCCGAACAGTTACTGGAAAAGATTCCACACATCTTGGAAAAACTACAGTCGACAAGCAGCACACAGGCACCAAACAAAAAGAAACGAACAGAATAGCAGAAAATGTAGTTACACGTTTCCAAAGTCCAATTTCTGTATATACTTATTCTCCAGTTAATTAAATTATTTTCTGGACGCTGTCAGGATTTAATCGCCTTCTAGTTTGTTTGCCGTAAGATAACTACACTTTTGTGAATATCTGAATGGGCCGCTTGAAGCCAGTTCTGCAGTGTTCAGGTATGCCCATCAGCTCCATACTGGCGAAGCCCACCTCTGGACTAAGCAGATATTCCGGGAACTGCTCAGGTCGAAATACGATGGAATTGTAGTTTTCTCTGATGCTCTCCTAAAAGCAAAGTACATGAAACGTTGATTATTACCATCTACGAGCATACTTGTATCCTCTTACCGATAGCTTTTTACGTCTCTTGTAGCCGTCGAAAGATTGAGGCTCTAGGATGAGTTTGCCGCCCGGACGCAGCTGCAGGAACATGCGGCGGAAAGCCTGCTTCAGGCCGGCATCACAGAAGTTAAGGTGAATCCACTTGGTGACCGAGAGACACAATATCACATCGAACTGGGGACACTCTATCTCCAGCAGAACATCATCGTCCAGCACGTAGTTGCCATGCACGAATTTCACATTGTAGGGAAACCTAGACCCTGGAGCCGCCAGACGCTTCAGGGAGCTGATCGTCGTTTGAGCATCCTTCACAAGACCGCGGTCTATGTCCAGGCCGACGAGGCTCTTGGCATCGAACTTCTTGGCAATTTCAATGGACAGATGACCCGAATTACAGCCAATGTCGAGCAGTTGCTTGTCCCGGAATAGCTCCGGCTGAGTGGCCAGCACATCCAAGCGTATGTCGTGGAAGTCCTTATCGAGTATGCGCTTTCCGTAGTAGTGCTTGTAGTTACCATACAAGAAATTGAGATCTTTGTTGTGCTTGGGTTTGTTGTTGGGCGGTTTTCCCTCCAGCTGCAGGCGCTTTTTTGGGCTCTGTGGTGGAGGGCGAGGGGCACTATCCACATCGGAGCGGTCCTCTTTTAGTCTTTTGTTTTCCACTGTCTTGTCATCGGAGGTCGCTGTAGCTTTTCTCTTCTCTGGACACTTTCCTGGAGCAATGACAGGTGGCGGCTGCGTGTTGTTGTTTTCCACATCCATGGTGAAATCTGCTTGGGTTGGAAACATATCAATATGGTACCTTGCAGGGCGTAAATTTGAATTGGCACGTACCCATCTGTTGATTCCCTATTTCCGATGTGTTTCATGTACTTTTTGTCAATTTAACAATAATAAAGCGCGAAGTGGACAACAGTGTGACCGCGGAATTATTAATCAAATATACCGACAAACCCTCGGAAATATACGCTTTTATTTTCAAAATATACCGCAAATGTACTCATGTATAATTTGTTCTACATGACAACTTCACAGGGATGAGATTACGACGTAGCACGGAATAAATTGTATGAATGCCTACGTATTTTTACGGTAACTTGAACAGGGGGATGGTAGGCCATGCAGGAGGATATATAATTATATTTAACAGCTCTTAGCGACCTTTGTAGTTCACTTTAAATTGCTTATTGCTTATTAAATTTACATTTATATATCAGAATGAACCATCACTTAAACTGGTTCACTTATGGAATCATGGAAACAAATGTTGTTCTACCCTGAAATTTAGTGCTGTAAAATCTTTAAGTTTAATATCATTAGTGAGACCAGCCCAAGATAATCTTAGGCGCGAACTTCAAATTGATCCGTCCCTACTGCCATTGTAAATCAAAACTATATTTCAAATAAATCAATGTTATTTTTTCAACAATTTGTTATTTGCATAACAAAGCAAGCGTACGCGCATACTTTTCAGAATTTGCAATTATAAATCACGACCATTGTTTGTAAAGTCCGTTAAATGTGCAGCAGGGGCGAAACCGCGTCCTGACCAGTTGAGCGCATGCCGCATGTTGACCCCGCTCAGCGAAAGGGCGAGCCAAATATACCAATGATAAACGGACAGGGCCGCATCGGCGGTCACTTGAAGTACAGGCAGGGGTTGAACTTAAGTTTTTTATTCATTGAAACACGTACAGCAATGGTCTGGCATCGACTCGGATTTGTACGACATGTGGGTGATCTTTTTAAGCGAGGGATAGTCTCTTTCGCGAGCATACGTTATGTTCGACCCCTTTGATGATGTGGCAGTTATGACTTTTAAAATCCATTTTTATTTTCCCAAAGCCTACCCAACATACCATAACCCAAAGTGCTCATTAAGCGGCAAGAGATAAATTCTATCAAAATAAATTGTAAATTTTTCCATAAAAAGAAAGGGTTTGCACAAGACATTTCCCAGGCAGAACTTGTGCAATGTGAAAGGAAAAATTCAAATAAAATATCCGTTCAAATTATGAGACACGGCGGCAAGGCGGTGGAGAGGGGTTGGTTGGTCTGTCTAGAAACCAGTTTTAGTTGCTTTTCCCGAACAAAAGGATGCAACATCTATTAAAACTTCAAATGACTTGTTGTTTTTGCCCCTCTGCAGCTTCCGCCCGTCCGCAGCGTCCACGTCCACGTTGATGGATGGGTCACGCACACACGGACAACTGGCATCCCGAGGCATATGAAATTCAAAACCCGTTTGCCGTGCTCGGCTGCAAGGAGGAAGCAAAGCTGCACAGCGTCCATCAGTAATCTGCTGCACATGCGCACCACTCTGGGCTCGAAATTAGAAAGGATTTGTTTGGTCAAATCCTTCGGCGGGCATGAACAAAAATTTGAATACCCACATGCACACCGTTATCCTGTAGGGCGCGCCGCTAACAAGAGCACCGCGCACAATACCCAAAGTTGACAACGCGATGGGCAACGCCAAGGGCTGCGGCTGTCCAAGGGTCCGTGGTCCAGCAGCAGCAGCAGGGCCATGGTAATTCAAGTCGTTCGGGGTAGCAAAGGGTTGCCCGCGCTATTGTAACTTTATAATTTTGGGTCAGCGTGCTGGTCTACTCCCAATACGAACTCCGAGCCCACCTCCGCCCAACCCTTTTTCACATCATCTTTTTTTTTTTTTTTCAGTTTGTGCACACAAAAAATAGCATCAAATTGTTTCCAAAAATCTGTCTGCTGCTGCTGCCCTATCGATCATTTGCATATTTAGTGTATGAGTGGTGCGGAAAAGTCTGTACAGATTTCGTCTAAATATATATTTTTGGATGAAGGTAACTTGATGGAGGATATTAATATATTAACCAGATGTTTACAAAGCTATAAACTATATTAATAAATATGTAAATACATTTATAACTGTGGGAAAGAAATCTAAATATAATTAGTACATAATCGGAACACAGATTTCTAAACCGAAATATTATAATGAAGAGTAAAAAATAATCAACCAACTTCCTTAATGGTGCTGATGTTTTTAGATATTCTAGTGGATAGAATACAAAATCGTTGAACATACACAAATGCGGGGTTGCTGCATAGGATCTATCAACATTTAAGATTAATTTTTCAAACTATCTTATTTAATTATAAAAAGTTGTTAGTTTGTGCCTCCCAGCGTGTCTTAGCATATGCATGCAGGACTATTACGTTTCCTCTCACTTAGATTGTATTTACGCTTAGAACAAGCAGAAACGAACAGCAAGAAATGTCGAGCAGGGTTCACTTTGGGTTCAGCTTCTCATTAATCTGCATGACTATTGGCACTCGATGCCATAAATCTAGCTTAATGCATCATTGACCCACAAAACCAGGCTATAGTCGGGGCCGGGCCGACTACCTATCCTTAGTCTTCACGGGTGAACGCATTTAGCAGTTCAAGCTGGCATAACAGAAACCAAAGACGAACTCTGAACCTACCCCGGCAGTCGGGTCAATGAAAAATCGTTTCAGTTTTGAGGCAAAAATCATTAAATTCGTCACAAAAACTGTAAGAAAAGGGGGAAATCTAAGGAAAACTGGCAGGCAAGGGTTGGAGACCTCAGACACAGACCTTTGGCAAGCAGTAGACGATCTCCTTTTGTTTGCATTTCACCTCTACACGTAATTTACTGTGAACCCGACGAGAATCAGCATCAGGGATGTGGATGAGGATGAAGAAGGCTGATGACTATCTTCGACCCAGTACTGGGTACTGGGTATTGGGGTTGATGCTGCTGCGGCCTAAGCAAAAGTGACATCATAAGACGTGACACATTTGAACTCTGGATCGAAGCAGAGGACTAGGACCTCTTGCAATGCTCAAACTCTTTGCACCCTTTGATACCTGGTCTAGGGGTTTTCGCTCGGTTATTTGATCGCTCGTAAATTTCTTTTCGTTGGGCCATATTCCGCTTCATGATCTCAATCGTAATCTTTTGGCGATTTTTGCACTGTGGGAAATTTTTGCGGAAGGAAGCGCGATCATGATCGATGGCTGTATAGAGTTTCAATAGGGTTAAAGGGGCGGCGGCACTCGAACAGCCCCGAATGGGGAAAAACGAAACTTTTTTGTGTGCAAAAAGCGAAACCAGAAACGAAATATTTCTAATTGCAATTTCTTCCACCAAAAAAGCAAAATGAGCTACATTTGCTCGAATTTCCTCCATTCAGAAGCTTAACCGCTTAATTATAGGCTGAGCTGTTGCATTATGCATTTTCACACCATTTTCCGGGCGTTTTCCGGGCGGAAAACGAGTTTTCCTAAATCGTTTTATGGCCAGCCCTTGACCACAGCCCATTTCCACTCTTCCATTTTGATGAATTTTCATTGTTTGTTTGTAGGTTTTTGTGGCGCGTGTCCAAACAAGTTAACCCCTTGACAACCAGTAGTCACCGCTTGACCAGCGGCCGGCACGATTCCTGCCCCGACTTGTTGTTGTTGTCCGCACATCCTTTGGGCAGACAAAACCCACACGCACGTGCGTGTGATTAGGAAGTCGCCTGTGGTCGACTCATCAGTCAGTAAAGCAAAGATGATTTAAGATCTCAATAAAGGAAATCATAACCGTACTGCTACATATTTATGTACGTAAAACTATGTACATATGTATATTCTACATGTCCTTATGTACTACATAAACTAGGATCTCCTGCTGGACTTGCATTAGCCTCACAAGCCCATGGGCTATCCACCCTTCACTTTTTGTTGCCACCCAACTCTTTTATTTTTGTTGGAAATTGTGTGATTTGAAATATGTGTATAAATGCTACATTTTGGCAAAAGGCTGTCATTGTCACGGCCATCATGGAAAGGGGTAGCTGGGCTGTGTGGCTCCTATGTACAGAAAGGATAAAGGATGCTGTGCCCTGTCGCCTGACAGCGTGTTCAATTGTTGAGGACATAGAAAAGCGTTACGCGCTCATATGTTTGCTAAATACAACAAAAATTCGCTGACCTTCCCGCAGAATTTTAAAAAAAAAAACCGTTCACCGAGAGAGGGATAAACGCCGTTGCAGCGGGGGGGAATGTGTGGTAGGTTGAGAGAGCAAAGAGAGAGAGAGAGAGAAAGAGAGACGAGACTCTCTTAAATGGAATTTGCGAAAAGTAATAATTCGATTGGAAACTCAAAGTCAAAAGTTTTGGCTTTTTCAAGGACATCAACGCATCATTAAAATGTTCTTCAACTTTTACGATCATCCATCAAACGATCCATTCATTGCCTACCTTAACATATCTACGCTTTGGTTGAGAATTTAATGGTCTTTAAGAAGAAAAGGTTGTGTCACTCGTGGAGGGGGAGAAGAAGGTTCAGACTATTCCGCATAAGAGCTCCCCATATTTTGTGGCTCATGTCAGGAAGTGTTTTAATATACAACTACAATTTCTGATCTGTTGTCCACCCTGTGGCGTCTCTGATGTTTAATGCCCTTCTAAGCTTTCCCATGACTACCAACCTATATACTCTTTCTAAATGCACATTTCCCTAGCTCAATGTGTGTTTGAAAATCACTTCTCACACTGATTGCAATCAACTTTGCTTGGCAATAGAAAAACGAAACCCATAAAAATAGTTTTATTCAGATAGCTTCAGTTGTAAACTGCAAATGGCATTGCATAGATTTTCCTAGAATTCATTCCGCTGGCTTGCAAATTTTCCGCAGACCCATGCCGTCAAATGTAACCCAAATGATGCACATCAGAGTTTTTTGTGGAAATTTGCATAATTTTGGCATTTTCAATTAAGCGGGTGTCCTGGCCCGCAGACGAGGGACGAGATTGAGATAGGCCAAGGGTTAGCAACGCATTTTTGACTTGTGCCAATGTTATGCAAATTTCCCGGATTCAACACCCCGGCCAACGGGTTAGAAGTTCCCGCAGACAAGCCCTTGATTTC